GACATGATACGATACGATATATATAGCCATTCGTTACAAATGAATGTTATGAGCTCTTACCAGTTATAAATATATGGTATGATGATACGATTTATTTTGATAAATGAATGATAAATGTTATTCAGTTTTGTACTAATATTCGTATCCTATTGAGTATTTCCATGTACTCACACTCTTTCCTTTCTCTCGTAGATTATAACGAGTTGTGTCGGAGCGTGATGATTTGATGGTATGCTTGTGCCTCATTTCATTGAACGAAAATCTAAATTTAGCAAGTAAATTGTTTCTTTTAAATTTAATTGCAATAGACATTATTCATAATTAAATTCTCGTACATGTTTATTTGTATATGGACATGTGTTTATATTGCATTTTTTTTATTAAAAGTTAAATTAATAATTTGATGTAGTGGTGAAATTGTCCTCTGCCCATTTCCATTTTAAATTTAAATGTTTAGTTGGCTGTCAAACACGTTAAATTATAATTGTCTACTTCTAATAAATTTGGATTTCAAGAAGTTCACAAGTTAGTAGTTAAAATTAATGAATCATATAAGGTATGTGGATAAATATAAAATTTGACCATTTTCCAAATAAAATTTGTTAGCGATTTAAATTTTATAAAAAAATCGGGTCGTCACATATTTGATCAAAGAATTAAATAGTATTGAATAGTAGTAAGAAAAAAAAAAAGAATCAAAATCTTTTTCAATCTTCGTACCGAACATTTAATTTCTATATGGAGCTTGAAGCTTGTGTAATCAAAATTTGTCCATTTTCTCGATGTTCAATCTCCCATGACCAAAAGTTTTTGTTAATGAAGCATGATGTGTTGTTTAGGTACCACTACGACATCTTCAAGGGGATTAGAACTCCCCTCGTGTGATATAAATGGACAATAAATGAGTACAATAGAGTAGGCATAAACTTAACTTCCAGTCAAATAAATGATAGATGAAAGCAATAAATGAGGAAGCATTACCTTGTGTATAAATATGAATAAAGAAACAATAAAATCTGAAGACTACATTTATCGGTCTATACTAGAGTGTGAAGTTGTCTGGACAAGGCGAGAGAACCATACTTCAAATAGCGGTGTCGTTGCCAATCCTCTGTAGCAACTAATTCAGCAACCTGATTTTCCTCACGATAGATGTGCGAAATCAACGTCACAATCAAAGGAAAGAAGATGTCTAATATGACGACAGTAGCGACCTTTACCACAAGTAATGCAATGCAGTATTATTCACACAACATGGTGTATCTCTGCAAAGTTTTAATGGTTAAAAAAAAAAAAAAAAAAGATAAGGGTTTGACGAAATGGATGAACAGATCAATATAAAATACGATTTCTTTTATCTATTTGAGCTTAAAAACTCTATTGTTGCCCCCTAACAATCTCTCCCGTAATATGATGCTCTTAGTGGCGCAAATTCGTGATCATGACTTTGTTTCACTTGTAGGACGTCATATAAAAATTAATTGGTCATGTCCTAAGATTATAATTAACATTTTTTTACATTTGACCTTCATATGAGTGATCCAACCCATAAGCTTAAAGTTGATATTGTTGCACCCAGTAAAAGTACTTCAAAATTGAAGTAACCAGTAAGAGTTCCAATTTATTCATAAAACCATTTTTCATCGTGCAAATCTGGATAGATTCAGCTGGCATCCTTTTTTCTTTTTTTGTCAGCTTTTTGATGGAAATTCAAAAAACAAGAATGCACCATGACATACGGCACAACCGGCAAACATGCGCGTCAAGATGATAATGATCATGTAGGGACCTGCTTGATTAAAGTGCAAGAATCCAAAATGTACAAGCATTTGATGCGCGTTAAAGTTTGGTCAATGGTCACGCGGTCTATCGAAAGTCAGCTCAATTGTAATTTTGCAAATCATTTTTTGAAGTCACAATAGCTATTGCATGGAAAGTTCGCATATTTTGTGGGCTTGAATTACAGGTTTATGTAGAAAATTTAGTAGTTTCCCACTTTTAATATGTTTAATATTGATTTACTTACTAAGTCCCCGTTTAGTACTTATTTTTTTAAAATGCATTTATTTCTCTCTTCTTTTTAATCACACATTCTTTATTAAAATAATATTACACGTAAATTAAAAAAAAATTTCTTATTTTTCAACCACACATTTTCCATCAATTTACTATTCGAAAATGCATTTTTACAAGAAAATGGATATCAAACACCCTCTAAGTTAATTTGGAGATTTTTCGAGTTGGAATTCTATTCAATTTTTCTTAGTAGCTAAAAATAATAATAATTTAGAGTGTAAATTTCTTTCAATTACTACTTTATGGAAATTTACAATTTTTCTAGGCCACTTTCTCCAACTGTTGATAGTCTCTTTGAAGATTTTCTTCCCGCAAATGTGTCATTAGATTTGTAATTCCAACATACACTTCAAAAATTTATTGACCATTTTCACTTCGAATATTTTCTCACTACAAACAATATATACTTGCCATGTGTGATTGGTTTTGTAATTTCAACATTAATCATGTTACATGTACATCATTTTTTATATTATTTTTCACATCGTGTCACGTGACAACACACCATTGAATTGTTTAAATTTTTGATAATTTTTTTACACAATCAACTTTTGCCAACACTTGTTATGTCAACATTAATGTCAATAAAAGTGTGTACAAGTGTCATTTTCATTTCAAGATATACCTAAAAAATATTATTAACTTTTTTCACTTTGAAGATATTTTCCCTACAAACATAAAGTTCATTTCTTGATGAAAGGATGTGGAAAAGATCATAGAAAAATGAAGAAATTTATTTATTGTATCACACCTTAAATAAGTACTTAACCTGGAAAATTAGAATTCTAGGCATAAACAATAGATCTTTAACAACATATATTTTGCCCCTACTTGGTATTAATTAAAATTCAAATTTTAGTTTAAGTCGCAGTCAACAAATAATTTTAACTACATATTTCATGGGTTTTATAATTTTTTAACCATTTAACTTTTATCAAAATCTACTAGAATCTGATTTTAATTCCTACCAAACAAGACCTTTAAAACATATCCACCATGCAACCATGCATCCCAACGCTCCGGACTAATCTACGGATTGGAGGAAAAATGATGAGTATTATGGTAAATTACTAAACAAGATACAATATGTGCAGTTTTCATCAATAGACAGACTTAATCACGAGTATATATAATTTCATACTACATTTTGCCCATGATGATGCGAATAGTCTGTGTTATTTCAAATTTTCAAAAGAGTTCGCATTTTTTTTTCATTGTAAGGATTCTAAGATCGATTAGCTTTTCGTGAATAATCATTATAAGAAAATTTATAAACTTACACTTATATCTTACCTTGATAAAGCCAACAAAAAATTTGGAAGAAAAATCAAGGATTATATTATCGAACTTTCCCTCTCTAGATAAAATTTTCCCCACTCTGATCTCGACTTTTGCTTTTACCATGGTAAAGAAAACTGGTGCTAGAGTCCGATTAGGATTAATAAAGTGAGCCCACTTAGGCTTTTAAAACTTTTATTGGATATCTCGGATCTGTTTTACCTTAAAAATGAGGTGCTAAAAATGTCATATGGTCCTCATTATATAAACAACCACAATTTTTCTTCGAACTTCTTGTTCTTGGACATGGATGTCCAAATCGCACGTTTCTTGAATTATCTCTATATAATTTACGAACTATAATTTGAGCCAGATAATGAAATCTAGACCCTCATATTTTCAATATCTGCATATTTTCCCCAAATAAACAAATGTCTACAAAATTTATCTTCATTTTAGTCCTTGGACTTTTTAAGAATTATTAGAAGAACCACCCAATTTGATTCGGTAGCATCAAATGTTCATTCATTTCTAGTCAACACGTACCCAACTACAAATATAGTGTTCAATATTTACTATGAAGTTCCAGAGAAATCCAAATTCACCCAAAACTTCCCAAGATTTGACATATCACATTGCATAAAATTTTAGTGCAATACACCAATGGTTGAGAGCGGTTTCTCGAGTCCTTCAAAATGGGGCTATTTTGCTACACGAGATGGTTGGAGCCATCAATGCATATACAAATTTTGTGTTATATATTCTAATTTTTGAGACAACAATGGCAATATTGACCCTTCACAACTTGTACTTGGATTCCTTTTGCATCATTGAGTAATTAAAAAGTTGAAAATTTTTCATGTAAACCTATATTTCGTCTCTTTGCCTTACATTTCTTATATTTAGCCAAATTTCTTGATTTTTCGTCGTGTCATTACAAATCTTTGGCCATAGGAATTAGTTGAATGAGACATGAAACCTCAATATCATCACAAGATGTACGGAGATGTTTTATAACACATGCACAACAAGCATCGAAAGTTGTTATAATTATTGCAATCTCAGGCGTTGTGAAAATAAATATTCTCAAAAACTTCTACTTAACTTTAATTATATACTGAATATAGGAATGATAACGAGGTTGGTCTGTCGTGACCTTTCCTATCCTCTATTCCAACTGAAATTTTCGTGAAGCGATATTAAAATATCACTTGCTTTAAGAGTCAGGATCCCGCCTTCACTTTTTGACAACTAAAGAATCCCTGCTTCATTTGAAGCGGACCACTAAGGAGTTGAGATTTGCTGTCCATTTTATTGTCAATCCAATTAATTTTTGACATGTCATCAATAATTAACAAGCTATCTCAGATTTACCTTCACTAACTTCATCATTAACCCACTAAATTTATGATGTGTCAATAATTAATTGAATAGGCAGCAAAATAAATATAAAAAATGGACAACAGATCTTAACTAAACAAGGAGTAGGGTGGGCGGGATCCCAAGTGGAGTAGTATATAGAGAACAAATGCAAGATCTTGAATTTGAAAATGTATCCCCCATGGATGAAGCCAAAAGTTAAAGGGGTTGTAATGCAAATTTTCATATTTTTGGGTCCACCAGCAAGCTTGTCATAAAATTCGGAGTTTCCCATACCGACCTTTAACACAAACTTTCACAGGAAGGCGGCATCTCCGACTCCCTTTTACTTTGATTCCCACATTCCAAAACAGCAGAGTTGGATAAAAAATCAGAATCAGGATAGAGGACTGATGGGTTCTTTCTCTCTTAGCTCTCACATTCAATCAGTTCACGCTTCAAAGCTTCAATCTTCATCCAATTCTGTATTTTGCTTCCACTCTAACACAAACACAAAACGCTTATGCTTCTTGAACAAAACTTCCAATTCCAAAATTAAGCTAACAATCTGTTTATCTTCTCCAAAGGATGCCGCTTCTGCCAATAATCCTCCTGGAGACGGCAACATCCCAAGGTCGGGCTCTCTAGTTTTGCCCTTTTTCTTTTTTCAGCAGATTATTTTCTTAATAATTTGTCAACTGCAATTGTATGTAGATACTGCAGTTATTTGCTACCTCTATACAACCGGTAGTTGGGTAATTGCGGATAATTTCGCCCATCCATCCACCTGCACATTAAATTGCAATTAAACAGTCTATGCTTTTCAATAATTTCTGGTGGATGAGAAATTTATAATCTATACTTGTGGCGGAACATGTTACTTAATTACTGTGATGAAATTGTATACCTTTCGTTTGGTGGAGGTTGTGATAGTTAACTTGTGGGCTCTTGTGGATGCTGCATTTCGACCGTCTTTTAACATATAGCACTTGCTTTTGGAAAACTGATAGTTGTTCATCCTAGTTAATTTTTGAAAACAGTTCTTATGAGCTTTAAGCCTTTAACTCCAGCTTGCTATACTAAGATTATGCAAAAAGCCAATACCCGTCAAGGTCTCCTAGGTATTATAATTTTGTCTTATTGACACTCCAAAGTAATTTATAGTTCTAGTTGTCTGTGCATCAATCTATAAGAACGCCACACATGAGACCAACAATCTATGTTTTAGATTTTGCTATCTTATTGCATTATATGAAAATCTTGTGTTTGCAGCAATTTCTGCATTATAGAAGGACCAGAGACTGTTCAGGATTTCGTTCAGATGGAGCTGCAGGATATCCATGAAAACATTAAGAGCAGGCGCAGTAAGATTTTTCTCCTGATGGAAGAGGTTAGTCTTATGATATCTTTTATGGTGTCCATATGGTTAACCTGAGCTTGTAAGATTAAAACAGCTTTTAGAAATTAGAATGACATAGTTTTGTTCTTTGTTTCCAATCCAGGTGAGGAGGCTAAGAGTCCAACAACGGATCAAGGACATGAAAGCTGTTAACGAGACACGTGAAGAGGAAAATGAGTTGCCCGATATCCCATCATCAATTCCCTTTCTTCCTCATCTGGTAATTAGAAACCTTCACCAATCTTAGAAATGTATAATGCACAAAGTATTAGGATCGCATCAACTGTTTAGGAATTTTCATTATCTAAATTATCTGTTAGACAATAAGTTATTCACCAGTGGATGCTTAAGAAATCGCAACACGGCCTACTTGTCGATATATTTTTCAAATTCCTTTCCATGTTTCTGAAATGTGTTGTAAATGCCGACATTATTTTGATAATGTGAACGGGTGATATATGAGAAGATTGTAGAATCATTCCATTTATGAGCATTTCTCTGTGTTCTGTTACAAAATTATTGTCACTTTTATTCTGCATTCATTTTGGCAAAACCTAATATTTGTTTTTATATATTACATTTCCTTTTGAAATAGACGCCGAAGACCTTGCAGCATCTTTTTCTGACAAGCTTTTCATTTATATCTGGAATTATCGTTTTTGGTGGCCTCATTGCACCAAGTGTAAGCTCCTAAACTTGAGACATCATCTTTCTTGCGGATAACCAACATTGGCAATTTAAGTAACTTAAAATATTTTCTTCCTGCGGAGTTCAACTTATAGCTGGGCTCGTAAGATTCACATGGATGAGTTAAAACCTCTGAAACTTTTTAACATGACAGCTTGAGCTGAAATTGGGTTTGGGAGGTACCTCATATGAGGATTTTATACGCAACATGCACTTGCCAATGCAACTAAGGTAAGTTGTCAGAAATATTCCCATTAGAATGTTTGACATTTACTTCATGAAATAATTTTCTAGCTGTTCTTGTGAAAATTTCTTTTTTAGTGTGGTATTAACAGTTAATATTAGAGATTTCCTGAAACATAATCTTTAATTTTTATTTCAGTCAGGTGGATCCTATTGTGGCTTCGTTTTCTGGTGGGGCAGTTGGGGTTATTTCTGCACTTATGCTATTAGAAGTTAACAATGTTGAGCAACAAGAGAAGAGAAGGTGCAAGTATTGCCATGGAACTGGTATTTATTTAAGTTGAAATTTTACGAGCTTTACAAATCCGTGGTTGGTTGCCTATCCTAATAATTACTGCCATTTTTCTTGCTTGTGGATTATGTAATAGCATAGAGTACTCTGGCATAAAATAATAATTATATGGTTTCAAGGGGATTGTACCGAAGATTTTCTATCATTTGATAGCGTTACATTTTCAAGGTATTCCAGCACCATACCAAACTATTATATCTTAGTTTTCATCTAGTTTGGTCCATTTGTGATTTAAGAATATTACAGCCAGTATGCTTTACAGTTTACACTATGGAAGATTCACTTGTTACTCAAATTATTATAATCACAACTCCAAACTCAGCAAGCCTATCAGATTTATATCGAGAATTGGAGTATAGTAATGAGCTAACCTGTGTCACGTCATTTTCTTATAATTTCTATCTTATACTTCCACTAGACATGAATTTTTCTGGAGTGATTTCTTTAAATCTTTTCCTGTTGTCATGCAGGATACTTGTCATGTGCCAACTGTTCTGCAAGTGGTATGTGCTTGTCCATTGAACCTATTTCTGTGACCAATCCTTCTAGTCGTCCATTGCGTGCACCAACTACTCGAAAGTGTGTGAATTGCTCGGGTTCAGGAAAGGTATGTAATTTGATTGCAGAACTTATAGAATTATCATTAATTTTTTATGCTTTGTTCGGGAGGAAGGCGGAACCCAATTTTCTATATATATATTTTTAGATATCCAATTTTTGATGGAAGAAGAATCTCCTCCCCACCGATATGGTCAGCTAGTGCTCTTCCTTGAGAGAGCAATAAAAAGCCAGAGGGGACCAGGAAATGCTTAAGCAAATATCTGTATATGTTTATTAACTTCAGCAGTGCATACAAAAAATAATATCTGTATATGTTTATTAACTTCGAGGGCTAATCCACCCATGTTTTTCGTTCCATGATTGACACAGTTACAATATTTTCAAGTAAACATAGTGACTCTTGAAAATTTTAAAGTTAGTCCGATCATTGTCGATTCATTTGTATTAGTTTGTATTTGACATGCATATTAGCTCCATTCTCCTGTGTTGCGCTTTGCCAACCATTTCATTTAAAAGCTTAAAGAGACCAGTTCATTTAAAAGTAACTTTCAACATGCGAACCATTTCATTTAAAAGTTTAAGATCTTCAATTACCTAAGTGAGGCCATTGCATTACTTGATACTAAATTCTTGAATGACAATGAAGCTCTGGCTCTCCTTCCTTCCCTTCTCGCAATGTTGCTAATTGATTCCTTTTGTGCTTCTTAGGTAATGTGTCCAACATGCCTTTGCACAGGGATGATGATGGCAAGTGAGCATGATCCCCGGATAGATCCCTTCGACTTGAACTAGAATGACTGCTTTTCAGCTATGTGACTTCATAGTGGAGGGGATGATCGACATTGAACTCCCTCCCATATATTATGCCTTTAGTTTTGTTTTCTGCATAAATAACTCTACTGTACCTATAGATACTCTTGGAGAAAGGGTCTTCAAAGTGGTAGCTAAAGAGTTGATATATACACACACACACACACACATACATTGACATTATCCTGATCACTCTTATCTCTTCTTTGATCGTGCCACTTTCTCGATCTTGAACGTATTTTGTGGCTACTCTCACAAATGTGATATTATTTATGCTTGCTTGTCTTACGAATGAAAGTATTCTTAGGATAACTGATTGGTCGACCCATTACTTCCATGCTTTGACAAGTCTCCTACATATATTTTCATACTTTTGTTCTGCCCACTCTTCTTATTTGATTCAAAAATCTACATGAGATATATTCTCCACAAACTACTTAGGAATAATATAGCGTTTAATAATTTCTATACAAATTGAACAATATATATAAAACTAATAAATATTATAATATTCTATCATATACTATAATAATTCCAAATTCATTTGTGCTTCCAAAATGTCAATTTTTTTTGTTCTTCACTTCAATTAACTTTTGCAAGTATAGACCAAAACATTTTTTTCTTTTAGAAACTCTTCAATTTGCATTTTCATATTTGAGAAGTGTTTCAAGTATTGAAATGCAACGTGTCCCTAGAATATCCAAGAATCTTCCTAGTGAGTTCCTCTGCCTCTTCTTCTAATTCTTCTTGTCCGATTTTCGTTTTATACTATGGTTTCTGTTTTCTTGGCTGAAAATATCTCTTGCCGGTCTTTTCTACGCTCAAAAATTGTTTCGAACATGCATTCACATCACTACGAGTTTTGTGCTTTCAAACAGTGGTTGGCAGTGAATAAAATAAAAGTGAATTTCTCACCTATTTTAAGACATTTAATTTTACTTTTTCTATGCATGAAGGCATTTTATTATATATATAATTAAAAAAAAAAGTTAAAAAAGTTGAACCTCAACTTTGAGGGTCCTCACCGTCTCGCCCCTAGAGCTTTGTGAGAAAGGTAAATCACAGGATGTGTCACAATAGGTCAGGGAACAAGAGCTGTCTGTACACTTCATCTTTAAGAAATTTAATTCCATGTCTCGAGAATCGAATCTCTGCACTGCAACTGCCAGCAAGGCGTGAGATAATCTTATTCCTGTCTTTTGCACCACTGAGTTATACCCGAAGGGCAAAAAAAAATGAAAAAAAAAGGTCAATTGTATACCTAACTTAATCTAAAGGTCAGTTTGTATGTATCTTTGTGTACTTTATCTCACCATATGGAATCAAACAAAATTTGATGCCTAGGAAATTAAATTAAATTTATTTTTCTGTCCAGAAATTGGTACGTCTAAATGGTGCTAGATGGAAAGTTATATTCAGTCAACTTAATATAATAATAACAATAAATGATGAGGTCTCTTTTATAAATCAATGGTAATGAACTATGACTTTTGACACGTCAACTTTTTCGGTTGTTAGGGACATGTCCACTTGCAATTCAACTTAAAAAATAAAAAATAAATCTCTGAAGGTAAATAAACCTTTCCCGATCCATTTGCATAATATAAAATGTGTTACATAAAGAATGTAAGTCTATCTTTATGGAACAAATAGAGTATGTGTAATGTACATTGCTTTAAATTATCAATACCTTACATGTTTTGATCAATGAACGTCAAATGTATAATATTAATCGTGTTGCGATACTAAGTATATATATCAAATTATGAATAATAATTGCTCAACGCGTTCTGATTGGCTGAACAACATAGAAAATTGAGCTTATAATGTTTAATGTTAAAAATGTTAACAGAAAATACGATACAAATTTGAACACTGTTTTATTCTAAAACAATGTATATGCATATCATGAACATGCATCACGTGTATGTGATTTATTTACCTAACTTTATTATTTCCTTATTTTCAGATGATGAGAGATAGATTGTGAAATTACGTGTTTTTTTTTTTACTATGTGACATGGTAATGTGACACGTGTGCATTAAGTTTATTTGGAAAATGTATGGATAATTACGTTTTCATCATTTTTATTGAGTTCGTGGTTGTAAAATTTGAATGTGAATCTCATTATAGATATACCGTACTATTATGTCTGAATAAATATACCATTTTGAGGTTCCTGACGGTCATTAAAGGTAGCCAAGGATGGGTATTTGGAGTTCGATACATATATACAGGGAATGTTAGAAGGTCCCTTGGTAGCCTTGAGAATGCGAATAGGCACATGAAGCACTGTATACTTAGGCTAGGCCTTGATTTATATATTTTATATATTGATGTGGTATCTTGAGTCTCGATGGGCTTAGTATTGTCCAAACTAGATATATTATTCTTTTCGAATAAGTACTTTGAATCAGTTTGTCACAAAAGGTGTTTGCTAAAAAAGTTCAAACCGTAAGTACACGGATCATGTTCAAGTAATAAAGTGGATTTTTTGAATTCGAGTTGTCGATCTCTCGAAAAATGCTTATTTTAGATTAAACAACTTTAATCAATTTAATTTTAACTATAAAAATAAACACACAATAAAAATTATGATTTTGGAAAATAACTAAAAATCTACAAAATAAGAAAATATAAAGTCTTGGAAATTTGGGAAGCAAATGTGGTTGGAATTTATGATTTCACTTTACCATCGTCTAGATAATTTCTCTAACAACAAATTAATAAATTACTTATTTACGTGTTAGACCCGATTTTCCAAGTTTAATTCATTACCTCTATCGAGCGAAATTAACTCTAATTGATTGGTTTAACCTACTATATCTCTATGTCGATTCAAACCAAACGGCCACATGAAATATTTGTGAAAATAGCTCAGTAGGTTACCTAGGGTTAGAAATATATCTCTAGAGTTTTTACTATTTGGTTTAAAATGCACAATCTTCTCTCAAACGATATACAAATCAATAAACATAGTCATTCATTGGCCATATAAATGAAAATGTAATAATAACAATAGTAAAAATACACGAAAATAAATAACTTAACATTAAAAGTAAATATTAAAATTAATTAAAAGCTAATTTAGTTAATACCATAAATCTCAACACAAATATTTAGCCCACGTTATATAAATGGTAAAAAGAAGAAAATTTCATGCAATACATTACAAGTTTGACAAAATAATGAAGAAAATACAAAAGTATAGATAAAACCTCCTTTTGTTGGATTTGTGAAGATGAAAATTGCTTGCTTTTGAATTCGCCAAGCTTTGCTAAATCCTTTGATTGCTCCTCCTCGTGCTCTAGATTTTGCCCCAAAACATTACCAAAGAAAATAAAAGAAAAAGAAGAAAGAAAAGAGAGAAAAATAAATGAAAGAAAAAGAAAAGAGGAAGAAGACGGAAGCCCAGAAAGGAAATTGTGGAAAAAGAGTTAGGAACAGACAAGATGTGTTGGGACTTCGAGGACAAGGATTCATGTCAACGTGAAGATGAAGTGGTGAAGTTTTTTGCCATTATTGGGACCATGTGCAATTCTATTTGGGAATATGTTTTCAAGGTGAAACCATGCTTCACTCCAAAGCTCAAAATCATGTGCACTGACAAGGAATGATTGATTACCACAACCGTTACCACTTAAAAATCCATTTGGAAAAAATGGATTAAGAGGTAAATGATGGTATAAAGAGGATAGGGTTCAATTTGAATACAAAGATCTGGCAATAGAACTTGCAATATACAATCATCAATTATACATTGAAGAAACAAAGAGAAAAGAGCTGGGAGCAAACAAAAGGACTTCAAGTGTAAGGATTTATGTCAACGTGAAGATGAAAAATGGAGAGGTTGTTGGTCATGTGCATTTCTATTTGGGAAAACTTTTATTGATTTAAGTACAGATGAAGTTGAAGGATAGGCGCAGCTATAATATTTTGACTAGATTTCATTGAAACTACGTAATTGGAATTGATCTTCAAATTCTAAATCATAATGGATTATATTAAATTTTAACAGAGATAAAATTCTCCAAACAGGGCCTAGGACTCTTCAAATGCCTAGTAATTTACAATTCAAATTATTACTCAGTAATACATTTCAATTTAGTTACGAAAATTAACCTTATTCGTTATAAAATAATCAAAACACATAATCCCATCATCAGATTCAAAACACAAAACCTCTATCTCTTTATCATATCGGCTAATTAAAGTCACAATTACTCGAACGCATCACATTTGCATTTAAGAACAAAATACAGAGAATAAAATGCAAAAACATTCAACAATTCAAAGGTTACACACACATGGAAAGAGTTCAACCATATGGAAGCTATTTTATTGAACAAATTCCTCAAACTATTTTTTCGCTCTTCACAGCAGATTTTGGTTCATCCAATACAGAAAATGGATTTTCTAACAATAGCTTTTCAACAATGTCACAATTCTTCCAAAGTGACTGCCTAAAATCCCAATAGTTTGTGCTGTCTTTTCTGGAATCCATGCCTTTGCCTCAAGCTTCAATCTAATATTAATAGGCTTCTTCTAGAAATTAACACCCATTCACTCCTAAATTATGCTATATTCCAAATAAATGAATAATTAATGAGTTAGTATAACCGAGAACATGTTATTTTCTCACACAGCAATATGAAAATTAACCAAATAAAATATTGGATAACTTAACCAGTAAAACAAGAACAAAAAGTTCATGTGCTAATCAGATTTTTGGCAAGCTGAAGTCTCTTTTCGTCTAACCAGTTTTTTGGCAAGTTGTAGGACTTTTTTGGCGAGCTTAAGTCTTTTTTTTCGTCTAGTCGACGTGAACATCTCCTTGTTCTGTATCTTACACAAAACCCAATTGTCCAACTACAAGAAAAAATAAATAAAAAAATTTCATCATTTCTGTTGAAATTCCAAGAGCAAAAATAGCAGAAATTAACATTGTATTTCATTTTATTCTTCTACTTGATGTACAAAATTATTACAAGATTACAAGATTATCCAGGAAGCATCTTGTCACAAGATTATCTTCTACAGTTTGCTGTTTGCCCTATGACGCGATTTTTATACCCAATGACCATGACAAACTCCAGCGTTTCTCCATAAGCAACCCCTATGTTGTACATAGCATCAGCATAGTGCCAATTATACTATGCCACACCTTGGCTGATATCACCCTCCAATTTGACCTGCTCAAAAGCATTCCATGTCAATAACCCTTATACAGGAGTTTGGTTACTTTTCATAAACCATTTCATAGTAGATCATGTTTAATGATAAAAACACGAGAATGCAGGAAAATATTGATTCAATAAGAATTTTGGAATGCCATTCATGTTCAGAACTGACTTTACTTCTGGAAGAAACCCCAAAAGTTGTTCATATTTAAACTTCACTTGTTGATGAAGACAAGTGCACAGATCTGAAAAAGTTACTCTCCTATCCAGTATATTCGCAAAAAAATTAATGAAAAAAGCACAGCACCTCTCATAACAGGCAATTGCAGACTCCAAATCCTCACGATTTTTATAGATAACGCCCATGTTGCAATATGCTTCAGCATACATGGGCATCTCTCTCATAGCAGTTCAGGGTGGTTCAGAATAGACAACACCAATGTTGTAATAAGCAGGCTGTAATAAGAAAGCCACCACACCTGAATAGCAAAATCAAAGTAACTTGGCATTCCAAATAAGGAAGCCAAGAAACATGAATCTACAGCATAGTGTGGGTCAATTTTGATAGCTTCATAGTATTTCTGAATAACATCCTGAGTGTTACCACCAAGATTTAAGCTGGTGCCAAGCTCTGTTTATACCATTGCCAAACATTCTGCAGCTAGTTTATATAAGGATCAGCCTTTAGAGCTTTCTGATACATCTGCATTAATAGAAATATAATAAATGTGAATAATGACTAACAGAAAGTCATATAAGAAAAATGGATACCTGGATAAGCTTATCAACTGTTAAAACTGCCGAGTGAGCTCTGAAAGCTTAAAACAATGGCAAGAGGGTTGTCACGGGTAAATGAAGACCTATCACTACACAATATGAGAACATCCCTGGATATACCCCCAAAGAGTAGAAAATTACAACTGCAGAGAGCCAGTTCTACCATAAAGAAGTCATCATTTACTGCCACCGATCCCACGCATAAGATATATTTTAATGTCGAAGGTATACTCATAATTGTATTGCAAAACGACATACAAAAAAATGTTCTATTGTTTTCCATAGATGCACGAAGAGTGTCAGAAATGCTCTCTCAAAAGCTATTAAACCAAAGTCCGCATCACCAAGCAGAAGGAAAGTGCTTAGGGCTGATGAAAACAAATATATCTTCCTAAAGGCCTAATGAGATGTAAGAACCAAATTTCCAGTGAGACGTCAATGAGAAGGGTATTGGCGCCCACAAAATGATAATAACTTCAGGAAGACAGAGAAGAACAAAAGAACAAGGAAATCACATAAATGTGATATGAGTAAAGATTAATGATCATTGCAAATAAATGTACTACAACAAACAAAAATTATATACTGAATATAAATAGCTTGTTTTCTTGAAAAAATATAGAGTCCTTTTAGACCCAATCACCTTTTTTCCCATTCTATCAAATGCATATTGAGTTATCCTAGCAATACGTCTAGACGGGTATCCTTAAGCATGTTGATGGCAATTATTATACCTACTAGCTAGTACTTGAGAATCATCAGACTTCCCAAAGAAAAGCCTCTACCACCCTTCCATCACTTTCTAGAAACTATAATTTCCCAAGTTTGACATTTTTTATCTTCCTTTCCTGGAAAAAGCCACTTAAATTAGGCTGCATTTGATTGCAAATATTTTTCATCATATAAAATAAAAGTGTTTGTTATACAAAGGAAAAATTTGACGGAAGACTATTGACTATACAAAGAGAGACACATTTCATAATGTCAATCCAATAGCCGTATTGCCGAGTACGGATAAAATTTCCATTTAAAAGGTTAATTAATTTGCGTGATAGTTAAGATCATTTCCATTCGTGAACTTCTTCGCGTTATTGTTACCCTAACATATTACAAGGATCATCATTTTCAAATTTCTTAGTTATGTATTTTAGTATTCACGGATATGTATATAAACAATAGGAGAATGTTGTCATGGATATTAGAGCAATGGCTTTTCTTCGTTCCAAGACAAGAAAGGGTAGCCTGTGGAGAAAGACTTAACCGGCTCAACAAGGATAGCAACTGGCTGTGAAAATAACAAAACAAAACTAAAATTTGAAAATAACAAAATATAAATAATAATATTATTTCATTAACAAAATATATTATTAACAGAAGTCTCTAAAACTATTAAACAAGTTTGGACAAAATGTCAACAATTCATTAACAAAAGCCTCTAAAACTATCAAACAAGTTTGGACAAAGGTCAAAAAAGATTAAATATAAATTTTTCCCAACTGAAATTGGAGTTGACCAGTAATGGTGAGATACCTCACCATTTCTTCGTATTGACAGAAATACTCCGAGTGCCCAACCGCAAAGAAATATTCTATTTTCTATACCCAGTATTTTTGCAATGGTTTCGAGTTTTACTTCAACAACGTACAAAGCAAGATCTACTTTCAAATCGTTAATATCAATTAGATCCTTGCCTCTATCTCTAAAAAAAGGTAGCGATGGAAGATTTTTTCTTCTTGTTGTTCCGGACAAGAATCTTACTCTTCAAAAAGTTTAGATGTTTCCATGAAGGAGGTTTGAAGTTACAATTGTTTGCATGATTAGGACTTGAATATCGAAAAATCAACTCGTATTCCCTCCAAAATAACCAAGATATTCAAGAAGTCACCCCCTTCAGTAGGAAATTTTGTGTTGATGTTGAAACTTATCATTTTACTTTCCTTCTCTTCCCAAAACCATTTTTTCATTATCATTTTGTCAGTAGTAACTGTGGTTGTAGTAATTAATTTTTTTGGGCCAAGTGGACAAATAACCTCATGTTTTTTTAGGTTTCTAGCCATTTTGATAGGGGAGGGGTTAAGCATGATTTTACACACAAAGTATTCATATTTGGAAGAGATTTAGTTGAGGAAGAGTAAGAGGAACAGTGATAGAGTGAATGGGGAAGATGAAGTGGAGTTATGTACAGATGAAATGTTCAGAGTGAGACGTTCATCTTTTTTAAAAGGGATTTTGTTTGTCCTCATAACTAATTTTAATTTCTTTGACCTTAGTTCTGATCAACATGTTATTTTGCCTAGGCGGCAATAACGACAACATGATAAAAAGATATTGTATGAATCGGTTCGTTCAGAATCAAAATTTATTGCGAATGTCTAATGAATTAAGTTTTGAGGATGATTTCGACCAGGTTTCAATGCCCAAACACTAGAGATCACCTACTTTTCTAGTCAAACTTGATTTTAATTCATAACTTTTGTTTTCAAGATGTATATATATTTGTTTTATTGCTAAAGAACGTGGGGTATGTAACTTAAAAGCACTAAAACTAATTCAACCTAAACCAACATGACCCGGAATCATCCTAAAAATTTAATTCAATAGACATTCTCAGTAAACTTTGATTCTGAACGAACAGAATAAAAAAAGATCATAAAGTGTCTTTTCATCATGCTGTCCCTATTGCCACCTAGGCAAAATAATATGTTGATCAGAACTAAAGCCAAAGAGGTAAAAAATAGTTATAGGGACAAACAAAATCCATTTTAAAAAGATGAGCCCCTCACCCTGAACATTTCATCTGTATATTGTTCCACTTCACTTTACCCATTCACTCACTCACTCACTATTCCTCGTACTCTTCCTCCACTAAATATCTTCCAACCATGAATACCTTGTGTGTAAAACCATGTTTAACTCCTCCCCCTATCAAAATGGCCAGAAAGCTCAAAAAACATGAGGTTATTTGTCCACTTGGCCGGAAAAAATTAATTACTACCACCACAGTGACAACTGACAAAATGATAATGGAGAAATGGATCCAAGAAGAGAAAGAAAGGAAGATGATAGGATTCAAAGTCAATACAAAATTCCCATCTGAAGGGGGGTGTCTTCTTGAATACCTTGGTTATCTCTACTGGGGAATACGAGTTGATTTTCCAATAGTTGAGTCGTCATCATGCAAACAACCGTAAATCCAAACCTCCTTCATGAAAATTTCTAAACTTTCTGAAGAGCAGGATTCTTGTCGTGAACTACATCAAAAAGAAAAAATCTTCCCTCACGGTCTTTTTTGGAGATGAATGCATGGATCTAATTACTATTAAAGATTTGAAAGTAGATCTTACTTTATACGTTGTCAAAGTAAAAATCGAAGAAATAGTTGCAAAAATGCTAAGTGTAGAAAATAAAATACTCCGTTGTGGTTGGTACTCGAGGATTTCTGCCAAGACGAAGAAATGGTGAGGTATCTCACCATTGCTGGTCAACTCCAATTTCAGTTGAGAAAAATTTATATTTAGTTTATCTTTTGACTTTTTGTCCAAACTTGTTTGATAGATCTAGAGACTTTTGTTAATGAATCGTTGACTTTTTGTCCAAACTTGTTCGATAGTTCTAGACACTTCTGTTAATGATAGATTTTGTTAATGAAATTAGAAATATTATGATTATTTATATTTTGCTATTTTCAAAGTTTTGTTTTGTTTTGCCCTCTTCACAGCCAGTTGATTTCCAATATCTTTGTGTTGTGAGTCGGTTAGGTCTTCCTCCACAGGCTACCTTTTCTTATCTTGGAACGAAGAAAAGTCATTGCTCCTAATCTCCACAGCAATGTTCTCCTGCAAAATTCTGGGTTTTTCCCCCAAAAACATCAAAATATTTTCGAATAAAGAAAACAATTTTCGATTTAAAACATACTACCCTTTGCTCTTCTTCGAAATAAAGGGAGTAAAAGGTTCATGGATCTTCAGCTTGTTCCCTTTGGGTAGAAGAATCAGATCACTGGCTGCGGGAATATCGATTGATGCAGTATCTATAGGGCTCGATCCTGTGATCTGCATAATCGAAATCGATATTGACCACATGTTCATCAAGCAATCATTTATAAACAAAAAATGAGATACGAAACTCGTGTACCTGATCACTACAACCAATAGTAGGTGATGTCTGTGGCTGACCTGATACTAAAGAGGTGGTGACGGTAGTGGGCATAAAAGATACCGTGCATGAGATGTTCACTAGTGCATGCATGATGTCAGTGTGACGACGCTCGAACTCATCCAAATGCCGAAGTGCCTTCACCAAAAGCCGCTCTACCTCCTCCAATCGTCGTTCTAACTCTGCCCTATACAAATCGAACAGCTGGGAAAGGGCAGCAACCTGCTCACACAACTCAATAATATGTTGCATATGCGAAGAAAGCCTTTACTAAGGAGGGTTGCGCACTGATCTGGCCTCATCTACACGCACTGTAGGCGCTGGTACCTCATGGTCACCTTCTAGAGAGCACATTGTATGGCCCAAATCACCATCCACATCAAATCACATCTATTT